AAATTGTGCGCTTACGACCAAGAAATCGGTATCCGCGTGCTCCTGGTGGCTTTGGGCACGCGATGCAAACGTTACTCAGTGTCTCTAAGTAAAAATTTCCGCAGGTATTGGTCCTTGTTCGCAGAGCCAATGTAGCTTCCATTCGATCACTTCAACACCTCTTCTTCTTCCTCAACACCTCTTCTTCTTCCGCCAAGGAGCCCCTCCATCTCAAGATTGTGGTGATAAGGCTGTCCAAAAGCTTAGAGATCTTCAAATCTGCCAAAATAGTGCCCAAGTGGGGGAAAGGCTTTATTGGGCGGCAAGGACAATGAAGGACGCTTTACATGTCGGAGAACCTCGAGGGTTTGTGGGAACAGTGTTGTAGAAATACCAGGTTGCACATTCTTTCACCTAATGAGTCGCATGCGCGCTACGACTGCCATTTCAGTTTATTTTGACTACTTTTTGTATTTCCTATGGAAATATACTGCAAAGATTTGTTTCCGGTTCTCCTTTTGCCTGTCCAGAAATGACATGCTTTTTTACACTCTTTAATCTCCCTAATTATTTTGTCTTTTTTCTACCTAACGTGATAAAATCTTTTTTGTCATATCGCAGGAAGCTAAAGATCGCAATAAAGTTTGTTTTTCTTTTCGTCGCAGCCTGTCTATCTCGAAGGAGGATGACCACGTCCAAAATCACTAGATCACTGGTTTATTGTAACCATCGTGGCTGAAATGGAAAATGCCACCAAGCAACACTGCTTGAAAATATTCAGTGCTGTCTTGAGTCATTGTCTATGCTAGTCACTAGCACGGACACCGGGTAGGAACCTCAAATATGCGAACCATTTATTACATGCACAGCAGATACACTGCTCGAAGATGATAACCGTATTAGATATGTTAGCAGGATTCGAAAAAAAAATATAAGTAAACAGCAATAGATAATGAAACTTACGCACAGGAGCCAGGACAATCGACAAAACTTAAAGGGGTTGATGAACCTGGAATTCGGAAAGCAATGGATAAAAAGCATATGACGGGACGCTACAAACCCCAAGACATCATCTATACAGCAATAGCATGGACGGATAGCCCTATTTCTTAAAAAAAGGGTACAATAGAGCAAAGCGCGTGCTTTCTCCTATCTTTTACGAGAGTTGAGTAGAAAAAATTGCTCAACCCCGCCCTTTCATTTCGAAAATTCGGTTCTCCATTCGAGATGTTACTTTATTAGTGGTGCTTCGGGGATTGTAGCATACTATTGCACGGATCTGCTGCCTGGTTTTGTCAATACAAGTTACGGTTCATTAACCATTAACAAAAGTGATGACAGTGGCCAAGCAAAGACTATTTTCACTAGGCTCCGGTACCACATAGTCTCCATCTACCCTCTGGACTGCTCTTCTATTCTCATTCGTGGGCACCACAAACTCAGAGTAGCTCTTGTACGACATAGCAAACCCAGAATACTTGTGCGTTCTCCAGTACAGAAGCAAGAAGCATTTATCAACAGGCACAACCGTCAAAACCCAATCGTTTGGCGTCCATACAAGGAAGTGCGCCACTTTCTTTCGGCAGACATGAAGTTGTGTCTGCAACTGTGTGTAGTGCTTGTGTGAGTCCCTTCGTTGCAAGTCACCTCTAAAGCACTCATACTGTGTGGCACTAAACGCCTCATGCCGCAGTGACCATGGGCACTTGACCTACAATGTGCCCACACCGTGACAGCTGCAGGTCCAGATTCTATCTGGAGAGGACCCAAGGAAGTTATTTTGAACACATCCAGTAAAAAGAAAAAGAAGGGTGATAATAACAGGGCGCCCTGACCTTTTTTACATATGAAGCATGAAATAAGTTCTGGATGCGACCTTTAATGCATATTTCAGCTATATCTACAGCTCCACTCAAGAGCGACATATGTAGTGGCTTGAAATTGGAATAAAGCATTAGGTGCCTGTTACTCATATTATATCATGTACAAGAATTGATGTGATAATAAAATAGATAGTTACGGTGATGCACCTTTCTGGGGATATGGAAGAGTGTAGTTTCAAAAACTGTTGTCTGCTTTGTATATGGTACCTTCTTTGAAAGAAGCGATAGGAAGAAGAAACTGCAGCCACAGGAGCCCACGATGTGTAATGCAGAAACAGCCATGTTGACAATGGCAAATCATGCTAAGCCACAGGCTGTTTGAGCCGATAAAAGTGAGTTTACAATCGTTCTCGACAAATAGATCCTCCAGAACGCAAGACACGCGAATTGCTGCATTAGATCAGGTCGGTCAAGTCAACCACCAACACCATATAGCTTGTTGCAGCAGAGTTAAAGCCGTAGCCATTGCGATATAAATCAAGACATTTGCACCAAATATGCTTTTGCACATTCAAACTTGCGATAAATGTTTTAGGTAGATCCTTGACACCGACCACCAATTCAATGTCGCAGAACCAAAAGTCATTGTGCTTTGTGCACACGTACTCCTGGTACACTTTCTTTGCCACTGTCTCTTTCTCAATCCCCCTGCGGGCGGCCTCAGTGTCGACAGGAGGGCTCCTCCACAGGATCAGGTCCAGGGTGGCCTTCAGCGACGTCTGCACCTGTAGGAGGAAAAATATGACGCCATACTAAGACCTACCTGCAAAAGGCGGGCAAATGTCAACAATGCACACACCTTGTTCAATACCGAGGCGGTTATTCTTTCGTACCGAACTTGCCGCCAGAATATGGCTACTGCCTGGCGTCGTGTGCTCTCCTCGATCCGCTTGATCTCTTTCGTTGATGGGCACAAACATGTCGTATGGCAGTGAAACTCTCCTTGCTCCCGTCCGTCTCACCTTCCTTCAGAAAAATTATTTAGAAACATTAGAAAAAGAACTCTCGAAAATGGGTGCGTCCCACATATATGAATATGTAGAACGTCAGCTTCCGTCCCCTCATGGGCAATGTCGTTCACAATGAGGCACAAGCGTTGCCACAGTGATATTTTGTTAGATCACTTTTGCGCTTATAAAGTACCGTTGATTGTTATATAAATGTTGAAGCTAGCACAAGGGAAAGCACACTGGCCGAAGACATGAATGCTCGGCCCGATAGTATACGGATGTTCAAACTACCCAAGTTTGTTATAAACTGTAAAATTGCTCATCATAGCCCATGTTGTCTTATGCCTCAGGAAACATCGCTATTGTAAGCTAGTTTTGTTGGAGATATTTAAGAACGGAAACAAGTATTTAACTTGCCTTAAGAACGTGTAAGACTGCTCGTCTTGAGATGCCGAGTCTGTGTCCTTGTCGCTCATCTTCGGTATAGACCTGAGAACGACCGCGTGTAGGTTAAGTCTCAGGATCTCCCGGAAGAGGGCTCTGTCGTCAGAGTTGTAGTCGTGGGCCACGTAATTGGGCTCATCAAGAAGACGCCTCCTTGGCATTCCGGGCTTACTTAGGTCCAGTTTGTGCACGGGGACAATGCCTTCCTGCAACGGAGAGAGTTACATTTACACCGCACTTGCTTTTAAAGGCCCCGCAAGTGAAGTAAGAGGTTTGGTCTGACAAAACAATGCTAAGATTGCAAAGTGATGTCTTGCATATGGCTGCCTTTAAATTTCTTGTGCAATCCCAAACATTTTTTTTTTTTTTGCAGATAGAGCATCACAATTTATGAATAGGCACGGTTTATGCTTGGATATCCACTCATGATTAATAATTTATTAAAAAAAACAAAAAAGGTAGCGGCTGTGTGAGGCTAAATATGCAGGTGTCCGACCACTATCCACAAAATGTGTGGATAGGGGTCAGGTGCACATGCGGCGTAGTTCTGGTGCGTACTGATTGTGATCTCCTAAGCTTGCACATAAGAAGGGGGATATTTGACGTCGTGACAGCCAACCGATACTTTCGTACTAATAAAAAATGAATATCTTGATTCAATTATTTTGACGGTACTATGCAAATCATAGTGCATTTCAGCCCCTGCACATGATAGCAAAAAAAAAAGATAATGAAAATCATTTTTATGAGTTCTGAAAATATTGTATGATAGTAGTTAGATATAAAACATATGAGCGATAGAGCATACTTTCTTCGCCGCACTTTGGGTTCATTCACAAGGCTGGGAGGTGCATGATGAGGCCTCTAGAGACATTCTTGAAGTGTACTCAGTACTAAACAAGAATGCTGCAATGTGGCTGCACCCCTCACCTAGACTGGAAGGGAAAATATTATTGTTTATTTATATCTGATGCTTGGGGTCAATGCTGTTACAGATGAGGTTATGGAGGAACTTACTCAGTTTTAGATGTGCAATGGCATGTGCAACGCTAAAGGGCTATGATCCCAACGAAGGGGAAGTGACGTCCATCATTATACCAGCCAACGCGGCGCTTCCCGAGCCGACTCATCCGAACGAGCTCGATCTCGAGCACGAAAGGATGGACGAAGGAAATTCGACCAACGCAATTCCGAAACCACATCGTAGCCCAGCGGGAGCTTCGAAAAACGAGTGGATCTAAGTCGTCAAGATCGGCGGCACCATGAAGAAAACGACTACGAGCGAGAAGAATACGTCATCGCCCTCATTCACCTCGATCCCTCGATAACAATCGCGACAATAGGTGCGCCCGAAGGCACCGGCCAAGCCTTGAAAACGACAGCCGAGCCTGCAGGAATTCTCGCACAAGGCAGTCCTGAAGCGCAAGACGCCGACAGGCCTAAAGCAGTATCTCATGCTCATCGGAGTTACAGGGCAAGAAGCACTAAACACAAGAAGCGCGAGTCGAGAGTGATAGTCAGGTTACTCAAACCTTAGAATCTCATCATGGCAGCGAACAACGATTGAGACGACGCCGCGTTGAATATTCAAGACTATTTCCTCCAAGTTGAAGCTCACCACGTCGTACCCCAAGAGAATACACGCGGAGGAGTCATCCTTGGTGTCAAGAACTACATGACCCATGAATGAATTACGAGATTTATGAGTGCACCGCCGGGCTACGAAGTCCTCTACGCAAGAAGGATGGGGAAATCTAAGACAGTGGTGATCACATTCAAGAGGACCGAGATTCCCAGGTCTATCGAATTTGATTGGAACCGGATCCCCTGCCTCATCTACAAGAAAACCGAGGCGGCCTGTCTCAACGGCGGGAAGGTCGGTCAGAGGGCGGGATCGTGCCCCAAACTTAGGGACTACGCTGGCTTTATATACGAGAGTACAGATACCAGAGGAACGCACAAGTGCACTCCCAAATGTGCCCTCTGTGGAGGACCCCACCACACGTACGACAGGTCATGCAAAAAACAACAACAACAACAACAACAACAACAACAACAACAACAACTACTACAACCCCTGCACTGCGGAGGAGCGGAAAGGGGAAGTAGCTCTGAGCGGAGACGTCCGGCAAAGAATCATTCTCGCTTCAAGTCGAGGAATCGTTCCACGAGCAGAAGAAGGCGCACCCCTTCGAAGAAAAAGGAGTCGCTGAATGCCTGGACCAAGTTAGTACATAGACTGCAGAGTACTTCCAGATTGACGCAGAGTACTTGCGATTCCGAAAAAAAGAGGCTTAAAAAGTAACCTTCAGGCCTAAAAAAAAAAAAAAAAACACAAGAAGAAGAAGATTAATAAGAAGGGCGGTAACAAAGCCAACATCAGGAACCACAACTCCAACGACGACTTCCCTTTCCTTGCGAGGGGAGCCGCCAAAACCTGGGGGAAGCAGTGAGCCAACTTAGGAAGAAATTTTAAGAGTTCAAGGCAGAAAGAAAAAGCAACCGCCTCCTGGAAAGTAAGAGCTACAAGACGACTCTGCCGGACTTCAAGAAAGAAGTCGCCACTAAGTTCAAAGATATCGATAGTAAGTTTCGAAGACATCGACCGGAAATTCCTCATCATCCCCAAGCGCCTCGAAACCGCCGAAGAACGACTGGACAACTTGGACTCGAATTTTGAGAACAATTTCCAGGTCCAAGACCCCAAAGGGAAAGAAGACCGCCAACGAGAATAACGAGATGGAGTCGAGCTCTACGGACTTGACTACCGCTTTTTAGAACTAATTACGGCCTTCAAAACACGGCGTTTCCTCTGTCAACTACCCTCAACTATTTTTGTGCGCCACACATCGAACCTGAAAATATATCCGCAGATAACCTTAGGAACATAATTATTCTTAGCCAAAGTGATCAAATGTGAGTGGCATGTTTATATGTTCATTTTTGTTATATCTATACTATTGTACTGTGACTTTTCTGTTTTAAACATCTTGTTGATGTATCATATGATTTTTCTCTTAATTTTTTTTCTTTTACGCTGCTGACCTCTGGGGGCTCGGGACCAGTCAAGCTGTTTTAACAGCTTTTTTCCCAAGCCCCCACCAACACTGTACCTTATTGTTGGAAATAAAGCTATTATTACTTCTTCGTCCTCGTGAAACATACCTACCATGTTAAAGCTTTGGCAACGGAACTGCAGGAGCATCCACAGCAAGCAGTCGGGCCTCAGCTTGTTTGTGGTGGACAAGCAACCAGCAGTCGTCATGCTGCAAGAACCAGGCATTAAATCCGTGAAAGTCCAGAGCTACGTAACATTCGAAGGAAACCAATACGTCTGCACCTTGGTACACAAGAGGTACCCTGCAATGAAATGCACAGTCCAAACCACCGCGCACTGCATGATCTACCTGCTCCCGCAGGGAGGAATCGCAGCAAGAAACGAACTGAAAATAAGCGTTTTTTACTTCTGAAACGTACACAGTAACACTAAAGCATTGAAGGAATGCATTCAGAAACTCTTCGAAGAGGGCCTAGAGATTGATACCCGACAATCTCAACTCACAACTGACACCTGGAGATGCTACACTCGTCTGAGTAATGGGGCATTAAATGACTTCTCTGATTATATGTGATGCCACTTCATCGCCTGACTTGGGTGCGATAGTCCTGACTAGAGCGGCCTTATCGATAGGTTCCAATCGGGTTGAGGAGTATGCTTTGGCACTTTCTCCAGTAAGCTCTTCGCCTTTTCTGAGAGGGTAACATCTCCGATGACCTGGATACCTTCATAGATCTGCTAGGCCTTCTTAAAAACGAGAGTATTTTACCACAAAGAGCAACAATATGTGCAAATAAGTGGTGTGTGCATTGGCTTTAGGGTGGCTCCTCAATTATGTGATCTGTTTTTGGCAGCATGCGGACGAAACACAGAACAACATAAATGACAAGAATGTCAAAAATACTAACATACCTAAAGAGGTATGTTAGTATTTTTTAGTATTGTGCACCCCAGAGGTTGGAGAAGACATTAATAGTTGTGTGAACAGGGTACTGAAAGGCTTCCAGGAGAGTTGTTTAGACCTGGTTTTCACGCATAAACTACCAGAGGATAACTTCATTGGGTTCCTGGGCCTTGCCTTGGAATCAAAAACAACAACATACTCTGGAGATACGAGCCGCACTCATGCAAAGGCTTTCATCCATATGAATCGGGGCACTCGAAGACTATTAAACGAAGTGTTTGACACCACGTCACTTATGTATGTCGTGAAAAAATTATGTCACCATTAGACTGAACCTAGTTTCGCAAGACAAATGTTTTCATTACGAGAGTTCGGATATCCTGATGATTTCCAGGCAGGTTTGTGCGAAAACCTATGCAAGAAACTCAAACGCACATCACCGAGTAGAATAAAACAAAGTCAAAAGAAACCCGAACGCATATCACAGTGGTGCTAAATCATCATGGAATCACTCTCTGATTAAAAGTTATCGCTGGAAGACAGAACGTGCAGGTGGTGTGTTCTGCCCCAAGCAAGACCTACTCCATGTGCCGCCGAGTAAAGAAGAGAACCCGCCAGGGCAAGAAATGCAACACTGCTCGTAGGACACGATATATACTCAGTGCGAAACTAGAGTGGTCTATTGAATTCCTCATTCTTGTGGCAAGTGCTATATCGGGCACACAGGCTGATGTATCAACAATAGAACTCGAGCGCCCGCAGCGGCAGTAAAGAGCACGTCAGCGCGGCCCCTTTCAGTCCACTGCGGTACTTGTGAGTGTAGTCCAGCTCTCGCTAACGTAAGCATTCTTGCAAGATGAATGAGGGCGATTCGTACCATGCGGACTTGTCGCAGGCCGACTGGTAACTGGATGATTCGTCACGTAGGAACATTGGGCAGTTGGTCACATTGACAGCGCAGAGACGGATATAATAATCTACAAATCGCAATTCACAGTAACTATATATGTTCCCTGACGACTGTGATGTTAGAAAATTAGAACGGGATGTTTTAATAAAACCTAATATACATATAAATGCATGGAATGCCGGAGGCTGTGCATAATCTTTCGAGCATGCATAAATATGCCGTAATATTTCTTCCAGGTTGCTAAATATAATCTATAAGTGCAAATATACTCTGAATAGGAAATACTTAGGAAACAAATCTTTATCATTGTGATATAAGAAATCCAAGAGTTCAAAACACAGTGTTTAGAGCCGCTGTACTAGGCTGTCAATACGGCGGGTGCTGTCGTACTGTCCAGCAATGAAGTGTGTTCGCTTGTTGCAGTCGGCGTGTCTCTTTTATTTTTAAACCTGCCTGTAAAGGCCCCTTCATACACCTGCAACTGAGTAGAACCGATCAAAACAAGACCGGTTTTTAAGACTTACGACGGTGCAGAACCAGCCCCGCAGCAGCGCATCCAGTCCTACGATGGCACAAAAGGCTTAAAAGCCGGTCTTGTCTCCGTCGGTCCTGCTTTGTTGCAAGTATGTGAATTGGCCTTAAATGGTTTTGCCACCTTCAACCTGGGAAATCTTCATTTCATCGAAGTCTAAGTGGCGACGAAGCGGGCATTTCAAACTGGGTGACATCACTAACGACCAAAGGAGTGCACGATAAGATGTTATGTGGAGTTTTACGATTTTCCATTGTAACATAAACAAGTCACTAAAGAAGCAAATATATCAATGCTAAACGTAGAAAAGACTTTGGCACACACCTGCTGGTTAGACGACTCTATGCAGATCTCGGTTGGATCCCCCGCAGGGGTACGGTTGCTTGAAAGTGTAAGAATACAACTCGCAAACGAATCAGTTGTAAGTTCTGCTTTCTATCAATGTAGTTTGCGGCAACTCGTACAAAACAGTGCGTTGTTTTCCACCGTCATATGTATTTAAACGAAAACACATCGTGAGTCAGCATCGCTCTACCTTTCTCCGTCGCAATCACCTCTATATTATTTGGGAATGAAATGTTAGTTCGGCAATGGTCGTTTTCAAGTTGCCGCAACATTCCCCGTTCGGGACACAAAACTTGATTCAGTTTTTTCACCAGTGTGGACAGATGGCCCAGTCCGACGTAGCCCAAAGGGGAAAATAGTATAGCCCAAGAACCGCCAAATACAAAATCGAGGTGAAAGTAGTTGTAGCAAAAATGTAGCCCCTCTTCGTAATTCATAAAATGACTCATGTACTAGGAAACAAGATTTATTGACAAATACCTTCTTCAGAAGCTATATATGACTTTTCACTGACATAACACCACAATGCAAACGTCTCAAAAAGGCACTACGGGAACGAACATTTCCACGAGCCTTTTCATCACGACTTCACCCGTGCGTCACACGTAGAAAAGTGTTCATCGGGTTTAAAATTATCACAACACACATAGCACTCTTTCATTCCACATCGCACATGCAGGATCATTTCTAAAGTGATCGTTTCCATTTTGTTTCGGTGGTTTGTCTTCGTTACGGAAACCAGGCTAAAGACCTCTCCGTGGCGGTGTTCGACACAGGCAAGCACAACAGTGCAAGAACCATCCCTGACAAATTAGAAAAAAGAGGCTCATCAGCTCTGTTCGTGGTTTTGCCACAGTACGCCAGAATTCGCTCAGGTTTTTGCTCACAATGAGAGATGGAAGCTGCGCCTACAAAACGCCATATTCCATTTCAAGGGTTAATGTGCCGCATGTTGCTTTTACTGACGACAGAACTTTTAGAAAGCTGCCGAACGGCGTGAACACAGTTGGGGGTTAGGCACTTAAAATTTCGTAACAACTCCAGGTTCTTGGGCAGTCTCTTCAGCGGTGACCTGAGGCATGCGACTGGGTACATGCGACAACGGTCCAGCATTTCATCATTCTCGTCGCC